GCTGTGGTCGCGGCCGGGAGTCGGTAGCAGTGGGGCTCATTGAGCGAGCCCGGGACGGAGCGGCGCGGCTCTGCCTGGCAGATCGCGGCCGCCTTGCCGTGAACCTTCTCCCGTTGCCCTCTGGGGACACCCCGGTGCTGCTGTGTAAAAGCACTCGGTTAGAGAATGCCCGGTTCCAGCTTTGCTCACTTTTTAAAAAATATCTTTTTGTGTTCTTTTGTTTGTTTCTTTTAGATTAAGTTATATACAAAACATGGTACTCTGAAATACCAGACAGATTGTGCTCCAAACAATGGGTATTTCATGATTCCCCTCTACGATAAGGTAAGAAACTGAAATCCCAGTGCCATCGCCTCCGTGCTGGAGGCAGGAGCTGCCCCCACGTTCAGGTCTGCCAGCACACTAAACATCAGCACAACACCTGCCCATGAAACATTTGACTCGGGACATATAGTTTGGTTTCGACCCAACGTTCAGCTGTTCATTTTGGTATTAACTTTTATTTCTCAGTGCTAAGTATTACCATGAGAAAAGCCACGTAACTTTAGCTGTGGTGCTGTGTTTGTGCTGTTCATCTGAATGACTGTGGCACTGGGACCTGAGTTCCTGCCAACAACCACGTGCAAGCAGCTGTGCAGGTGCTGCACAAAAAGTAGCGGTTCCTACAGAGTACAGATAAAGCTTTCAGTTATCTATCGATAGAAATGAAAATAAATCATAAAACACATGAGAATGTGTTTTGATATGACTGAATTGAAAATGATTGACAAACTGCAGATATTAAAAATGTCTTAAGAAAGTAATGATAGAGGAAGCTCAGAATGTGTCAGAGGTTTGATGTCTATTTAGACTGGAAAGATGTTTACATTCAAATTAAATACAAGCTGCTCTCAGATGTTCTAAGTATTTTGTTCTTTTAAAGAGCTAGTGAACTTAGGCATGAGACATAGAATCATGGAATGGTTTGGGTTGGAAGGGACCTTTAAAGGTCATCTTTCCCAAATCCTTCCCTTCCCAATCTAAGAATGTAAGATGCTTTCTAATCTCGGTGATTTCATTTTTAGGTATTTGAGCCTTTCCATGGATGAACTTCAGAACATATGTGGCAGAACATATGTGGTGCCCACTGATTTAAAGAGGATTTCTCTGTAGATTAATACCCTTTTTGGTGCTGAGCTTTTAATAGGATTGAAATTTTGTTATCCTGTGTTTGGGGAGAATGGTTGAGTAGGACCTCCTGGTGGAAATACTAAAGGCTGATTTAGAGCGCATCTGTTGGGGCAGGTAGAGAGATTTGAACACTTTCTAACACTAAGCTGCTTGAACATGAGCCAGGTTTGGTCTGGAAGTGGTATAAACGTGATGTCTCTTAATTTTTACTCCTAGCTGGCTGGATGTGAGCCCAGCATCCCAGCCTGTCTGGGCAGATATTGCTGCTGCTTTCAACAGAGTATCGTAGGTAGGAGGAAAGGACAATGGGCCACCTGAATCTTGTGTTACTCTCTGCGGCATGATGCTTGTGTTCTGACTTTTTTCTTTCACCCTTTAGCTAAATTGAATTTAGATCAGTGAAGACAGTTATTGCTTTTTTATTTTTAGGGGGATTTCATTCTTAAAATTGAGCCTCCCCTAGGGTGGAGTTTCGGTAAGTGCTCGTATGTCTTCTTACAACAGGCCAGTGTCTGCAATGTGGGACTTAACTATATCTAACTTGCAGTTGGCAGGAAAAATCAAGTGCTTTTCAAGAGAGATAAGCCCTGCTGTATAGTTCTGATAGCTAAAACATATTTACTGTGCCAGGGGAAAATAAAGCTATACGGTAGACACTGATGAAGTAACGCATGAACTGATTTGAAGGAATGTGGGGTTTTGACAGAAATGGCTGCAATGGGTGGGGGAAAGAGGGTTTTCAACATCAGGATTTGTGGGGGCTTTAACTTTGCTGAGGCAAGACTTCCAGAGCAACACTTTTGTGCTTGAGTTAATGCATTTCTGTGAGAGTTTTGTAAAGCTAAAGTAGAGCTGTTTCTTGATTGCTTTCTCACTAACTACCATGCTGTTTCATTGTTCTTCCCCTCCAGAACCAACCAGTGTAGACATCCATGTGGATGGCATTAACGACATTTGCACAAAGGGAGGTGATATTAACTTTGTGTTCACAGGGTTTTCTGTGAATGGAAAGGTTAGACTCCTTTATCTTTATTTATTCCATCTTATGCTAATTCTGCCTTCATAAAAACATTCTACTTCAGCTCTGCAAGTTATTTTTATCCGTTTATACTCTGGTTTCTCTTCATTTTGTCAGGTTCTCAGCAAAGGTCAGACATTAGGTCCTGCTGGAGTCCAGGTTGTGCTGAGAAATGCTGGCAGTGACATAAACATACAAGCAACTATTACACAACCTGGAGGAAAGTGAGTGTGGGTGGTGTATACTGTTCATTTACACAACATTCTTTCAGTTCTGCCATATCGACTGGGATTATCTTAGTTCTGAAATATTTTTTGTAACGTGTATAGAGTCTGAATAATTTTTCTGTAAAAAAAAAAAAAAAAAATTATGACTATTTCTGAAGAGACGTAACCCCTTTCTTGCCTTCCAGGTTTGCTTTCTTTAAAGTGCTTCCTGGCGAATATGAAATCTTTGCATCTCATCCTACCTGGATGTTGAAAGAGGTTAGAGCCTATAAAAGTTCTGTTTTACCTGTTTAGCGGGGGTGGATCTGCTAGACCTTGTCTTCATCAACTAGTGTGAGGAAGGGTTTTTGTGAGTGGACAGGGTTAGTGGAATTTTCATAAATTTAATTTAGGTAGTCAAGAAACTGCCTCGTGCAGGCCCAGTTTGGAGCTAGTGGAGCCAGCCAGGGAATGACTGGCGAATGAGCTCTTACTTTTGGTCATATATTTTGCAGGAGCTTCAATATTATAGCAGACGCTGTAATCCTTCCCCCTTGGGTTGCTTCCTTTCTGAGGAGCTCTGAGATCCTGACGAATTCCTAAATCAATGAAACGGGGAAGATGCTGTTTTGCAAAGAGTCTTTGTGTTTTGAGTAGATGGTGGACCCTCTTTGAATACTGCTGCTCTGGCTTCTGTTTCTGTTGTTGAATATATGGCTTCTGATTGTTATTTAGGTGCTGTAAATGAGATCTAATGCCTACTTTTGAAGAAAATGTATGTGTTTCTGTATTTCAGTCAAAGACAGTGGTACGGGTGACAAGTTCTAATGCTTATGCTGCTAGCCCTCTGATTGTTGCCGGCTACAATGTTTCTGGGTCAGTAAGGAGTGATGGAGAACCAATGAAAGGGGTCATGTTTCTCCTTTTTTCTTCTTCAGTCAGTAAAGAGGTAATAGTGTATTAATACCATTTCAATATGAGTATGGACATAAATAAGAAGCAGCTAAATAGCTTCTAGATTTGTATTTCCCTGTTACTCATCTCTGTCATTCATTGAGCTTGGCTTATAGAAAACATAAACTGTACAACCCCTCAAGCTGTATATATTTTTTTTTTTTTTTTTCTTTCCAGCAAGGCCCTTGCAGTACAACATTTGTGTACATGCTGAGTTTTCACATGACCTCCGTGGAATTACTCGGATCTGTAACGCAATAGCTATCTGTTTAAATCTTGGCAAAATTGAGGCTTAAGGTCTACATATATTTTGAACACCAGAAATTGGAAAATTCTTTTAATTTCAACTCTTTTGAACTCTTCGTTATTGTTTTCAACCAACCAGGTTCCTTAACAATCAGCTGTTCACGCACATAGAAAACTAGGGCTTGAACTGAAGCAAGCAACAAGTGCAAAATATAATATAGTTCATAGCATGGTATTGATCTGTGTATTCCCTGTAGGTCAGTAGGGTTAAGGGCTACAATTTTAAGGCAATATTTTTCCAGTTAAACCTTTTTGCATGTTAAACATTGGTTAGTAAATGGGTTCCCTCATAAGGATGACACTCCTCCACAGTGAAAGACCAGCTTCTGGCACAAGACACAAGATTTTGCCAGGCAAATCCTGAAACTCGCTGTACAGTAGCTGTAATTTGTCTTCAGCATGAGGTCTTAATTGCTCTTTGCCCTCTTGATGTGAAGGCAAAGTTCAACAGCTTCTATTGCCACCTTAAAAGTGTGTTATGAAATAGGTATGAAACATTTGGTCATGTACTGTGATTTGTTATGTAGAGTAGAGCTCTGTTCTGTAATGTTAACCTTGTCCACAGAACTGAAGTCAGTTAATATTAAGACAGGCAGTACATTTCTTGGGTACTGGAGGACGCTGAATTTTCCAATTTTCTGTCCTCGTTACCATAAAGTTGATGATTTGTTGTTTTTTCTTCTTTTACCTATCCATCAGTTGTAAGCCATGCTGTCAAACTTTGCCTCTAAAATGGTTTTGTACTTCCCTTCCTTCATTCACAGTATAGTATTTTGAACCTTCCCACACCCTCCCTGAAATTATTTTCTCTGTTCTCCCATGGGAAAAAAAGCTGTGTTGCATTTATTGCTGCAGGATGTTGTGGGCTGCAATATTTCTCCTGTGGATGGATTCCAGTCAAGGGATGAGTCTCTATCCTATTTATGCAGTGTTGTATCAAAAGAAGATGGATCTTTCAGCTTTCTTTCTCTGCCAAGTGGGAAATACACTGTGGTAAGTACCTAGAAGGTTCATTGCTTGTTTATCCGTTGGGTGTTAACTTTCATTTTCTAAAATAGATCATGCATAACTTTGCAGCTGTTAAAACAGAAGTAGTTGGAATATTTTGCATTGGATGAAATAGTTGGAATAGGAACCTCCAACCTAAAGTATATGACAGTGATAGGGGCTCTGTGGTGTGGTTTCTGAGGAAGGATTTATTTGCAAATCAGGCTCTGAATTACCTGAAAGCACTGGCCGGTCACAGAACCACAGCTAGAGGCTGCTGGGAGACTGAAAGTTTCAGTTGACTACAGCGACCTCATGTGCTTTAAGTTCTCTGCTTTCTTTTTTGCCCACTCTCTTTATTATGTCTGGGTAGAGCATGGTTGTCTGTGCACTGCCTAGAATGATTGTTCTGCATTTGTAGATTGCATGATCTAGAAGTGGCATTCAAACTTCTCTCATTCCTTTAACCATTCTGGTGAACCTATAGTCTCCTATCTATCTGTAAGCACTTGCACATCAAACTACCATTGCTGTGTTCTGAGTAGAGGGTTACTTTTCTGTCTCTTCGGATAATTTCATATGGTTTCCATCAAACAGTCTTGAAATACTGCCTTTATACTTATCTCCACCCCTCTGAATTACTTTTTCCAGAAAGTTTGTAGCCCATTTGACCCTTCATAGTGGTGTCTGATGGTGATAAGGACATGGAAAATGGTAAACAATTCTGTTGTCATAGCTTCTTAGGAGTCAAAACGATGTGTCTTCTTTCAGATACCATTCTACAGGGGAGAGAGAATTACCTTTGATGTTGCTCCATCTAGATTGGACTTCCTTGTAGAGCATGACAGTTTACAAATTGAGGTAAGGCATTCAGAGGAAACAATCTTTTTGTGCCATTCAGTCCTGTAAAGCTATAACTGATTTTAGCAGAAAGCAGGTGTATTATGGAAAAACTTCTTTGTAAGAAATTTGAAGACATTTGTTATCCATACCCTCTTGTATAGCAGATAGAATACAGTGTCTGGCATTGTGCTGTATTTTTACGTTTCAGTCCCTTTTACTAGGAAGAAACAAAATAGGGAAAAGCTGTCTACTGCATTCACTTTCCTGGGCATGTTGCAAACAGGCAGTAATACTTCAGGTTGCTTAAATTTACTCATTCAGTTTGTCAGATCTCCTGAGAAGAGCCTGTAAGTTTGTCTGGTTTGCAGAGTGCCTTCTGTAATGCTATTATAATCTGTGACTTGGGCCTTCTGAACTGTACAGATGCGGATGGATTGAGAATCTGTTCCTGTACTTAGGGGAGCAGTATGCTTGGAGATTGATACGTAATTTCATTGTGATTATTCTGGTAATATTTTTTTCCTAAAGCTGGAAATAAATTTCTGTATATGTGTATGTGGGGAAAACAGTTGGTGTTGATTGCTGTAGGTGTGTGTTTGGTTTTACTGAGTAAAGGTTAATGTTCACTTCTTTCCTATTTCAGCCCGTTTTCCATGTGATGGGTTTCTCTGTCACAGGCAGGGTGTTGAATGGTCCTGAAGGAGAAGGAGTTGCTGATGCCACTGTGACTCTGAACAATCAGATTAAAGGTATGCGGTGGTCTTGGTGTTTGTTGCTACAGTGACACCTGTGTTAAGCTTAAGTACAGGACTAGTGTATGAGATGGAATTAAGACTTCAGGATAATACACTACTTCTATTGCAGTTTACTTGAAATATTAAACTGGTTTTCCTGCGGTTGATTAATTTTGCATTTTCTGGCCTAGATGAGATTATTAGGTGTTCATTTGTTTTGCTGTAGAAAATTTCTTCTATTTTCTTTCCACCATATGCCAAGGTGTGCTTTGAAATACGGAAATGAAGGTTGGTTTAGTAAGAAAGCATAATGCTGTTTCTTTGTCGTGCAAAGTAAATTATCTTTTAACACATAAGGATAGGCAGTCAAGACATGCTCTGTTTTTGAACTCATCTCTTTATTTGTTACAGTAAAAACAAAAGCTGATGGCTCTTTCCGCCTTGAGAATATAACAACAGGTACATACACAATTCATGCCAGGAAAGAGCATCTCTTCTTTGATACTATTACAGTGAAGATCGCACCAAATACACCTCAGCTAGCAAACATCATTGCAACAGGGTAAGTACTGGTGTCGTGGTAAAAAAGTAATTTGATATGTGAACCAGGTCTTGAAAGTGGGTGGTCCTTTCCCATGTCGTGCCCAGACTTGCATATTGTTGTCAGGAACTAAATACTGCTCGAGAAATTCGAGGTAAATAGGACAGCGTCAGTGCAAGGTAGTACTTTGTCAACAGTATTTTGCTCAATACTAGTTAAGGCTCAGAGCACCCTCTTAATAACCTCTCCCTTGCAAATGAAGGTGCAAGGACATGGGTATATTGAGCAATTGTAGCACTGTATGTGAACCAAGAAAGGAGAGAGAGGCTTTCTGCTGCTGATGCTGCACTTCAGATACCCTCCTTCTGTGCAAGAGTGGAGTTGCATAACTGTCTAGTCCAGTGTTGTACCAAACATCTACATTTTATTACCCACCACTCTCAAGGTCATAGTTGTCTTGCATGTATTTTGTCTTTTTCGTGTTTGGGATTCTTTGACTGCTGGGACAAGAGGTAACAGGCACAAACTTGAATATAGGAAGTTCCATTGTAACACAAGGAGGAACTTCTTTACTTTGAGGGTGGCAGAGCACTGGCACAGGCTGCCCAGAGAGGCTGTGGAGTCTCCCACTCTGGAGACATTCAAAACCTGCCTGGACGCTGTCCTGTGCAACTGCTGTAGGTGACCCTGCCCTGGCAGGGGGGTTGGACTAGATGATCTCCAGAGGTTCCTTCCAACCCTGAGCATTCTGTGATTCTGTAGGCATAAGCCTGTGTAGTGGTAACAGGGTGCTTTTGGCAGTGTAAGGCAGTGGTGGGAGGTAAGTGTGAGCTGGGGAAGACAAAAGGGGTGTGGTTCTCTGTCCAGGAGCTTCTGGAGGAGAAAATAGTGGCAACCTCCTGGAGAAGTGAAAACTAGGAATCTACTGAGGCAAATGTCAAGTAGCTCATGCAGAATTAACTAATTAGAAAAAAACCCTGCAAGCTTTTAAATGATCGGTTACAGGTTTTTTCAGTGACTGAATATGGTGTACTGTTGAAGGTGAAAGGTAAAACTTAACAGCTTCTAATTTGTCATCTTGTCTTGTGTTTTCACAAATGTAGGTGTACCAGGGTGGTGTTCCAGTGAATTACCTATCATATGTGAGGTCTTTGACACAAAGCATTTCAAACCATTTAAAACCTGAGGGATGGCAGTTCTGAGTCAATTGCCTGCCTACCCAAAAGAAAAAAAATTAAAAAAGGCTTGAAGTGATTGGGTTGGTGTCGGGGAAGAGTGAAGCAAGTAGCTTGCAAATAAAAACGTAACATAACTTCATGGTGACTTGATTGTAAAAGAAAAGATCCCATTAATCGTACATGAGTTTGCACTAGCCCCACTGTGTTTGCTTATGGTATCTCCTTCATGTGTTACTACCTCAACATAGTGAGGTTTACTTCTTAAGGAAGTTTTAAACCAAGTATTTTTAAATGAGTTTTGTCAAATCGAGATATTTATTCTGACGGCTGGCTTTTACTTAACAGATTCAGTGTATGTGGCCGAATCTCAGTAACTCGTTTCCCTGACACAGTCAAACAGATTAGTAAATACAAGGTAACCATGATGCCTCAAGACAAGGACAAAGCATCACTGGTTACAACAGAAACTGACCCTCACGGAGCATTTTGTTTTAAGGCAAAATCGGGTACATACAATGTTCAGGTGAGAATGAGCTTCTGTTTCTTCATTGTAGGATTGCCATGAGATTTTAGAAGATTTTAAACATGTAATTTCTAAAATTTGAGAAGTTGAATTTAGATTTTCCTGGTCCTTTTCTCCTGTTTGCACTTTTTAAACAATATCAGTTATTTTCTTTTTGTTTTCTTAATAATGCTCCTTGTCCTTTACAGTTGTTCAAAGGAGATCAGGCCATTGGGGTTGAAAGTTCTAATTTCTCTCTCCTCTTAGTTGTGATGTCGCTTAGATCAATTCTTATTGTATATATGTTATCCTGTGAGTGAGACACGTAATGTGTACCTTTCTCAGGTGCCTAAACGGTTCCTGAGATTATAGGTCACAGCAGAACCTGTGGCACAACCACAGTGAATTTTGCATTGTGGGAGATAGTGCAGGCTGGGAGCTAAGGAAGTGCGTGGTTAGAAGGCCTCTAACTGTGCTCATAGATAATGAAATAGCCTAATGTAGAAGCAGCAGTGCATCCTGAAGTGAAATTCGCTCAGGCTTTTGAAACTGAGCTGTTTGGACAATTTTAAGTTCTGTTTTATTGCAGTTCTTTGGAGGATTTTTGGTACATAATTTTGAAAAGTATATTTGGGAAGCTGGTGCTTTGCCTGGGATTTACAGTAAATTTCAATTTTCTAATTTCTGATAAGTGTATTGAACTCAGCAGAGTGGGTGTACTTGGACTGGTATCTAAAAGCTGGTGATGTCTTGATGTCGTATACTCTACAGGTAATTATTCCAGAGGCTGAGACCAGAGCAGGATTGGCTTTGAAACCCAGAATGTTCCCTGTTACTGTTACAGACAGACCAGTAATGGATGTGACCTTCTCTCAGTTTTTGGCATCCATCTCAGGGAAGATTTCTTGTTTAGGTAAGTAAATTTTGAAAGTGAAGTAGAAATGGGAACAGAGAACTTTAGCACTGCATGTGTGAACGATCACTGTTTAGATCAAGACACTTGCTGTGGTTAGCCCCATGGGCAGATAAGTAAATGAACTTCCAGCGTGTGGGTAAAGCGGCTTTTTGGGAGACCTTAGAGCCTATAAGGTACCTTAATAAAATTTGGAATAAAGTTATGTACTTATTTTTAATACTTGCTAGGAATAAGCAAGCATTCCTTCCTCAGGAAGGAATTCTGTCCTGTTTGCTTTCCTCAGAAGATAGGTTAAGTTCTGGAAGGAAGTGCTTCTGGCTGAGACTAGGGATACTGTTCATCAATCAGAGAAGTACTGGAGGCAAAAAAGACGTTAAAAAACCCCCCCAAAAAACAGTGCCTGTAAAAACCTGTAGGATAGAGGCTCAGGCTGTTAACAGAAGCTTGCAATCTCTGTTCTATTTCATAAGCTTTTTGTCTTTATTTTAGTCTAAGGTCCTGTCTCCTGCTCTTTTCCTTGATTACCCACTGATTTCAGCAGTTGGTGATTGGAGTCTGACTTTTGTCATTTCTACCTCTTCCTTTTTCCCCTCTGAATCCTCTCTGCACTTGGTGTTCCCTCTCTCAGGTGTTTTCTGGGCCCTGTAGTCTCTGCAGAGCAAGGTGGACCCAGGGATTTTGTTGGCCTCTGGTTGTTAACTTGCCTTTAGATAAAAGGATATGACTAACAGTCTGGAACTTCCTAAAGAATGCAAAAAAGCACTAGTAAACATGTGCGTAAGAAAGAAGAGTAAGAGTTTTAATTGGAAATGTTCTCTACTGGAAGAGAGTAATCATAAGTACTTCTTCCAGTACACATGAAGCTTGCTTGTAGTGGGGGTTTTGGAGGCAAAGCTGGAAAGCCAGAATGCAATCTCATTTTCTGCTGTTGTTTCTGCACAGATGCTTGTGGTGATCTGACAGTGACATTACAGTCTGTGAGCCGCCAGGGTGAAAAACGCAACCTACAGCTCTCTGGAAACACGGACTCAGTGGCCTTCACATTTGAAAATGTGCTACCTGGCAAATACAAAGGTAGGATTATGGGGAACTGCTTGAAGTGTTACCTTAGTAGCTAAATTTCTGACTTAATCAGTATACTTCTGTTATTATGGATGCCGTTTACAGTATGTCCAATGTGGAACTAGTTGTGAAACTTGCGAGAATCTGGAAAAATACTATAACAGTGTTTCAAGTTTTCTGAGTCTTGTATGTTTAACCCTTTTGTCAGGTTACAGGTAACGGCTCCCCATAAGTCTATATGGCTGGTGTGAGGAAAAGAGGCTTTGTCATGAACTGCCTTGTCCCAAGCCTAAGAACAGGGGCACACCCTAGTTCTTCTGCTTCCAGAATATCTCTCCTAAGAGCAATACATGTTTTGACCAGCCTGTCTTGACCTACTATGAAAATAAATTGTTTTCCAGGGAAAGGTGTAGAAGGAGTATATACAGATGCTCTTTTTATACGTGAGTCAGAACATCTTTCCACCAGGTGAAATTGGAGTTAGGTTCTGATGTCCTTTAGCCTTCTTTGGTTTACCACGATGGTAGTGCACATTGCAGAACTTTCCAGGGTGACCAGACTTCATTATTACTTTATATAATAGCTTTTCTGTTACAAGCTGTGCTGGATTCCTGGTGATGCTGCAGTGCTGCCAGCCAGGTCTGTTACTACAGTCATTGTTGTATATCTGGCTTTGAAGATTATTGCCAGGGAAGTTAGAGTGATACAGGCTTTTTATACCACAAAACCTGTCCTTCTTCACACAGTTTTACATTACTAAAATGCTTTGTGTGGTGTGTATTCTAGTAAGCATTGTACATGAAGACTGGTGCTGGAAGAATAAGTCTTTGGAGTTGGAAGTCATGGAGGAAGATGTTTCAGGAGTAGAATTCAGGCAGACTGGATATATGCTGAGGTGTTCTCTTTCTCATGCAATTACACTGGTACGTAGGTAACAAACATCCTTGGATTTTTTTAATGAACTTGTGTAGGTAGGTTGGATAATGCCTGGAATCAAGGCTTTCTCATGTCTCTATGGAGTCATATAGCACAGCAACATTGATGTTTGGAGTGCTTTTGAGATTTGTCTCTTAGGTTTGGTAAAATGGTCTTGCGTTGGTAGCTGCTATAAAAGAGAAACATTAATGCATCTTCAGGCAGATACTTTTTTCATCTTATTGTTTGGTAGTTACTAATAGTGAATTGTGTTGTGGCTTCACAGGAATTTTATCAGGATGGAAATGGACCGGAGAACGTTGGTGTTTATAACCTGTCCAAAGGAGTTAATAGATTCTGTCTTTCAAAGCCAGGTAACAGCTCTAAAATGTTAGTTTAAAAAGCAAAAAAGAACCGGTCAACTAATACTGCTGGGAATTTAAAAAAAAAAAAATCTGTTGTGGTTTCTGAGAGGCATTGTTTTGTTTACATCTGTATATAAATGCTCTGTTCTGCATTTTTATAATTCTCCTACTATTTAGCCCTTCATCTAAATACAGATTCCAGAAGGAAAATAATTTCTTTTCTTTTTGGACTAGGTGAAGGGCTTTGATCTTTGATGAATGAAGAGCATGTTAAAGTAATTTTGTTCACATGGGTTCTATTTGTTAGTCACATTGGAATGTCACTGACGAATTGAAGTTTCATTTCAATACAGGATTTTTGTGGGATAACTGCTAAAAGTACCACAGGCTTATCTATAACAGGAAAAAAGAATGTTTTAAAATCAGGGTGGGTTTTTTTTTCTCCCTTTAATGTCTTAGAGCTGGTTCTCTGTTATGGCCTCTTAGCAAAACAGTTAATAAATATGTTTGGTTTTGATTCGGTTTTCAGCTTTGAACATTTCATCCTTAGAGCCAACGGTCTCATTCACAATATGATAATAGAGTGGTTCTATAATCAGTCAAAGAGTACCTACCATAGTAGGTTACTTCTGAGCTTGTTTGGTTCGTTGTGTTTGTAATTACGTTTATCTGTAGTGACGCCTAATTGTGTTTTATATCAGCGTGCATTAGAAATGCTGTGCAACGTCCAATAGTCATCTGTGACTGAAGAGAGGTGAATTAATTTAGAAGTGTCTATGTGAAAGGCAGCAGAAACATAGTAAAATTTTGTAATAGTTTCAATACCTCAGGTCTCATGTGATCTTGAGAATTCAGTCAACACAGTAAGCTTGAATTTTTCAGTGGGTCATTCTTTGACTTAATGTTTACAGGTGTATATGAAGTGACCCCACGTTCCTGCCACCAGTTTGAACATGAGTATTACACTTATGACACGTAAGAGCAAAATCTGTTTTTGATCTTATATGTATAGGTATGCTTTCATAAAGCTTTGTTCTGCTGCAGCTGTTTCCTTACAGCAATTCAGGATGTTTTGCACGGCTGACTCTAACCTATAGAGGGAGGCTTTAGCAAAGTGTAACACGTGTTCTCTTGCCCTTTCTGGTCCTAAAAAAAAATAAAAAAAATCAATTAATGATAGGCTCTAAAGGTGCTTTTGCTGCTTTAAATGGATGCTTTTGTCAGCCTTCTGTCTGTTTAATATTGGGCTTGCTTTGTAAGAAAGCAGAGATATTTCAGTGGAAACTGTTGATCACTTGTGAGAGTTGAAATGCAAAAGATAGGATAGTAGGTGTACTAGGAGGCATATACCACTGTTGTATGCCCCTAGTGCCATGACTCTGGTGATTTGATTCTGCTCACCCCAGTTTTTGCAGGCTGGATAAATATTCACCCTAATCACAAGTAAGCAGTGCTGATCTTCCTAAGTCAGCATTTTTTATTAGTTATTTATAAGTTACGGTTTAGCAATGTGCTTAGTGGCTCTTCGCTTCCAAAAAGAGGATTTCTGCTCTGAGGCTACTTCTGATTCAGAGAATAACAGAATCATAGAATGGTTTAGGTTGGAAGGGATCTTAAAGATTGTCTAGTTCCAGCCCCCCTGCCATTCATTAACATGGCAGAAAACAAATTCAGCATTCAAATCTGATTCTTTTCTGCTGTGTTAGTGAATTAAAAGTACTTAAAAGAGACATGTGCTAAACGTGAGAACCAGCACAAAGTGAATAAATGGATACAAGCAGAAAAACCTCTTTTGGCAGCAAAGCACCAAAGATGTCTTGGGGCATCTTGGTGAACTATGTCTAATATGACAAACTTTTGAGTGTCCTTCTGCTGTGTATAAAGGGATTGCACATATGAAATCAATCAAATCAGCTTTAGCTTGAGAGGAAGCAGGAGGCCCAAAGGAAGGAATTGATTTGGCCACTGTCATGCAGTGGTTTGGGCTTCAGAGCTGGAAAATGCTCCGTTTCCAATATGCTGTCATCTCAGCACTACAGCTTTGCTGTGTGATTTGTATATTGTCTTTTATAAAGCATTTCAAAGTTAAGAAGGGAGCACAAACTCTGCTAAATAAGATTGGGTTATTTTCTTTAGGAGGGAGACCTTGAATTAATCTCTTTGTTACTTTGATTTACAGGTCCTCTCCTAGTATACTGACACTCACTGCAGTTCGACACCATGTCCTCGGCACGATTGTAACAGATAAACTGATGGATGTGACTATTACCATTAAGTAAGAACAAAGAAATCTTGGGGCTATAAAAAGGGGAAGAAAAAGATCTGTCTGTCATGAAGTTTTACTCTGGTTTTAATACTGCAGTGGCTGCTTTCTAAGGGGATGGCATCCAGCTCTAGACTATGCTTTGAGTTCTTTGTAGATGGATAAATAATTCCCAGCCCTCATTTTGAACATTGTCACTTCATTTCAGTGTAGGCCCTTTCTACTTGTGTGTCATGGTAAAAAGGAATGATTTTCTGAGTTTTCGCACACTTTAATGAACTGAAATTTCAGCATTCAGAGGGTATTGTTTTAGCTTACGTCTGAGCTCTTTAGTGCTGGCATGTATTTTTTCCCTTTTTTGTTTCCTCAGAATGAGAATCTGCTGCTTTAGAGCACTGTTACTGGTGTGAAGACGATTATAAAAGGAAAACCATGCAGAGTGATTACACACTAATGGGCCAATTTATGTTTAGCTGAACAGACAGCTCACTAGGGAGCACTGATTTGTGAACAGCTTTAATTGTATGAGTTGCCAGATCTGCTTGGAAGTGTCTTACAATGATGAGTGCTTTATTAATGCTCTGCTGATGTCCACTTGTTCTAGACTATGGGTTCTCAAACTTTTTGAGTCTAGAAAACATCTCTTCAGAGAACAAATTACCTGCACAGCATTGCCTCAAATTCCCTGAGTTTAGTGAGCCTGTAACTGCGACTGCTGGACAATTACAGCAGCTGGAAAAGAAACATTGAGATAGCAGAGAGCCAATAAGACTTTTAAAACAACTTAGTGAGGAGGTGAATATTGTACCGACCTTCTAGGCTGGTTCTTAACAATTTTTGATGATGAAAAGAAATGTTTGAAAAAAGAGACTGTGGTAATTTATTATTAGTATCACGAGACTGTGTGCATATCTGTACAGATTTTTAATATGTTTTAAGACAAAAAAAGTTTTTTGATACATTTTTGTATTGTCTCTGGACTGCACAGAAGGAATTTAAAGCCTTGATAAAAGTTAGCGTGATAGAGCAATAGTATCTGTTTCTCTTAAAAAAGACAAAATAGAGCATAGATGAAGACTGAAGCGGGAGAAAGAACTATCCTGATAATCTAAAGTGGTTGTAGGAAAAGTAATCGTGATCATTTCAGTTCACTCCTGATAGAGAATTTTGTAACGTTGTGCATCAGTTTTTCAGACTGTTACAGAAAAGACAGAAGATAAGATACAAAGAATGGTTGGAGACTAGAAGAAATTGCTACGTAAGAGAGTATGTAAGATCAGGGAAGGTGAAACGAGATGCATTGTTCTGAGCTGGTTTAAAGGACTTGGTTAAACTTATCTAACAATCTGTTCAGTGGACAGTGACAAGACAGCTGGATAGTTCAAATGTGTAGGGCAGATAGGTTGGAACTTGGACGTTTTCCTGGGAATTGCCAGCTATTGGAAGTATTTATTTGTGATAGAAGTTATTTTCTGCTTGTATACTCTACTCGTGAGAGGTAGGTTCTGAGGGAAAGTTCCTAGTACTGAAAAAATAAGTGAGCTTACCAGTCTTTTTATTTATTTCTTTGTTAAGCTTGTTGTCAGGTTTGGAATTCTAGCCTTTCTCTTTTAGTTTAGGCCTTTGTTAAAGGTACTCTGGCAAGCTGATCCTTTGGCTTAAGAATTTACCACTCCTCCTGGCTTGTCAGTGCTTCTGTGGGAGGTTATTGCCCCTGCAGCAGAGCTGGTGTCTGGTACTGCAGTGGGATGCTGAGGCACGGCAGACGGGAGGAGGAGACTACAGGGCCGTAACTTCTCAAATGGTTATAGCATGATGGGGCAAAATTTGTGAGAGTTGCAAGTAGGTCCCTTTCTGCTAGGCTAGGTAGGTTGGCTTTCTAGTAGTAACAGACTGATACTGAGGTTAAAAGTTTTAATTATACTTGGAATAAATAGCAGAATTAAAAAGGAATGGATAAAAAAAAATATCCTGGGACTCTCTGCTGTGGTATATAGGCAGTAATTAACAGCTGTAACAATCTCTTATCATTCCGTACGAAAGGAGATGATTTTGTTTTCTCCTCCATGTTTTCAGGTCATCCATTGACAGTGAACCTGCCTTAGTTTTAGGGCCCCTGAAGTCTGTACAGGAGTTACGTAGGGAGCAGCAGCTGGCAGAAATTGAGGCCCGCCGACAAGAGAGAGAAAAAAAGGGTCAAGAGGACGAAGGAACAAAGCCACCAGTGCAAGAAATGGTGGAGGAACTCCAAGGACCATTCTTATATGAATTTTCATACTGGGCAAGGTAATACCAAGCTCCAATGGACAAGGAGTATTCTTTGTACTATTGTCTGGTGTTTCCACCAAACAGAATGATGACATTTTCCATATAGGAAAGAACTGCTGTATGGGTACTTGTGCCTGTTCTTGTTGACTGTCAGCTAAATGGAAACTAATACCACATGATAGATGGATTCTTGGGTCAATATGCAGTACTCTGTTCTTCATGAGAGCTGCTAATTCCATTTTCTTCTAATTGTATCTTATTTGTGTTTTATAGGTCTGGAGAGAAGATTACTGTGACACCCTCATCAAAAGAGCTGCTTTTCTACCCGCCTTATGTGGAAACAGTTGTTAGTGGAGGTAAATATAAAAAAAACCTAGTTTGAAAGGGGTAGATTTTTAAGGCAGAAATGTATCCTTACAGATGAACGTATGACTAGCTCTTCAAAGGCAATGTTAGGAAGGTTTCGATTGCAGCTATTTCTTTGGGCCAATTTCACTCTGGAATTTGGAAGCATGGGGATTTGGTAGAGGGTGCAAGTAAAGTTTTTATCAGCAAAATATCCTTCCAAGTTCTGAAAGACCACCTGGCACAAGAAGAAGGACTAGATTTCTGGTCATGACACCAGGTTCTCAGAATTGTTCATATTACTCTTATCTAGAAAAACAGTTGTGCAAAAGCAATGTTTGTATTCTGAGTTTGTTACCAGATTCAAGTTTATGTTAAGTTTTGGTTGTAGTAAATTACCATAATAAAAATACTTACAAAAAAGTAAACTTCAGAATGATCAGCGTTATCATCAATCAGTTGATGCTACTTTTTAAGTCAGTGTCCATCTTGCCCTCAGGTTCCTAAGTGAACATACTTCGTTTGAAATCCCTTGAAATTTTTGGGTGCCCCTTTTTATGTGCCTCTTCATTGTACATGTTCCAAGATACATTGGAGGGGAGGCGGAATAAAATTTTACGTATATCTTCAAAAATTACATACGCTGACCTGAATTTGATCTCGAAAAATTTTGTCAAAGCTCAATGTAATATCAGCTAGAAGGGAATACTGTTGGAATCTTCTCCATGTGGCTGCAGTGTATGTAACTTAGTGAATCCTCAAAGCACTTAGCAAATCCAGAGTGTTTGTTTTGGAAATGTGCTTATAGCTTTGGAACTTAGTTGTTGATTTAGTGAATGTTCAGATGTTTTAAGATGTGTTGAGAGGCCATAGAATTGTGTGCGTTGATCTCTTACTCTAAGGTAAAAGAACATTAACTGATCGGTTTGGAAGTAGTTAAAGTCTTGCTTTAAGACAGAATGGTGAGTGTATTTTTTACTTTCTTGTTTGTCCTAAATCCCCTTTGCAATGACCAAGAGAGTTGTCCTGGAAAGCTGATAGAGATTCATGGAAAAGCAGGCTTATTTCTGGAAGGGCGAATTCATCCTGAATTGGAAGGTGTTGAGATTGTCATTGGTGAAAAGGGAGCAACTTCTCCACTCATCACAGTTTTCACTGACGACAAAGGTGCTTACAGGTAATTGACAAATTTGTTTTGATCTTTTGGATTGTTTCGTTTAGGTACAATGGTGACTTGACAGTGTGTGTGAGATATCCAAGTGCTTTTTTTAAAACGAGTTCTTCTTTCCTTTTATTTGAAGTGTTGGACCACTCCACAGTGACTTGGAATATACAGTAACTGCTCAGAAAGAAGGGTTTGTTTTGACTGCAGTAGAAGGAACAGTTGGGGACTTCAAAGCGTTTGCTCTTGCTGGGGTGACGTTTGAGGTAATGTTCTAAACACTTTGGGTTCTGAATGAACAGTGTGTACTGTTAGAGCTAAGCAAGTGAAAAAGTTAACCCACGTGTCCCAGCCAAACACAAATGGGTGTGGTATTTGGGGATAGTTTTGTCATGGGGAAACAAATCTCAGTGGATGAGCTTAGTTGTAGACCATGACTTGCCATGTAGAAGATATTTTGCAAGGTTTATAGAGTGAAAGTTAGAGCCTGCAGTCCAAAAGACTGGCTTTACTTGCTTTTTTTTAGAGTTGGGCCACCTTCTCTTAATGAGTTTTATCCCTCCAGGTGATTTTTTCATGTACATTCTGGTCCAGCTAGTGCCTGTTCTATCTTTGGGATACTTTGCTCTGGCCCCCACAATGTCCTATGAAGTGATAGAGAATGACTGTTCTGGTGGCACATGCTATGTGCAGCTGTGACTGCCCAGATGTTGAGAGCACAAGCTTCTGTAGTCCTGCAGCCTCACAGGAGGGGATACACTGCAGGTGTGGCTCATTTTCCTCTCCTTACAGCTGAGTGCTCAGAGTCAGCACATCTGTGCACTCTTGAAGAGGCTTCTGAATTGAACCTTTCTTTGTAAAGCAACCCTCCTTACACTTAAAACTATTGCTTTTTCAAAAATAGATCAAATCAGAGGATGACCAAGCTCTTGCTGGAGTTCTCTTATCTCTCAGTGGAGGAGTGTTTCGGTCCAACCTCCTTACACAGGATAATGGCATGCTGACTTTTTCCAATCTGGTAAGTTGAAACTCGTTCTTCTGAATGTGGCTGCATGTGCAACGCTGTGTTACTTTGCCCTCCCAGATAGGGATGCTATTGGCTCTTGTCAGTGGCAGGGGAATGTATGGTCTCCTTTGAAATCATAACCCACAGTGAGAGATGTAGGTCCCTCAGACTGGGCAGCACTTACAATCTTAGCAAGTGAAAGATGTAAAATCTAAACTGGCAGGAGATTTCTCCCCAACAGGTAGTAGATGATGATTGATTTCAGTTACTAATTTGCAGTCTGTAAACATGAAACAAGCCAATTTGTTGATGATCATTTGAGAGTCTTTAGAGGAAAGAAATCTAATTAGGTTATTGATCTGTACATGTGTGTAGACATGCCTGAATAGTTTCCTTGCAGACATCTTTCTCTCTTGGTCGCTTTCCTGTCCTTGACATCTTGCAGTAAGGTGTTAGGGCCATAGTTTCCTTTCCTGCTTCAGGCTTTATCACCTGCTGGAGTCCCACTGGTTTATTGTCCTATGTGCTCCCTGTTTTTCAGCACTGACGTTTTCTGCCCAGTTTAACCTACAGTTGGGATGGAGAACTCTAGCTCTTCAGGGAGCTCTTGCAGAAACATAATTGTTTGGAGTTGGTGAATTTTTGTGTCACTGTCAGTGAACAGTTTGTTTTTTGCCTCTTTGCAGAGCCCAGGGCAGTATTATTTTAAACCCATGATGAAAGAGTTTCGCTTTGAACCATCATCACAAATGATTGAAGTGCAGGAAGGACAGAATCTTAAAATTCGGATAACTGGTTACAGAACAGCTTACAGGTCAGTAGAGCTGAAATGCTGTGCAAAATGTATCAGGACACACGCAAAGTGTGTGTTTTTTCCTGGTATACCTATGTTCTGAAGGTTTGTAGGGTACTTTTGAAGACACAATTTAACTTTATTATGCTGTGTATAAGTACTTTTTTTTAGCCTTTTCTCATGCATGTGGCTAAGCCCAGATGGCAGGACTATAAGGAAAAATATTGCTGTGAAAACACTGTGTCAGTGGCACTGGATGTTGCTTGTGCTGTGTCCAGTGGGACAGGAGACGGCTATTCTAGGGACAGTAGGCCATTTCAGGTATCTGATTTCAATATGCTTTCCTAGCCCTCGGGGGTAAGTGCTGCTGTTCATGGAGGTCAGGGAACTTGGATTCCTAAAGTTGTGCTCTGAACTGCAGTTAATTCTAATGCTTTAAACGGTTTTACATATACATTTTAAATTCCCCTTTTTTTTCTTCATGCTATGCTAAATATATGAAGTACTTTTTCCATCAGTTATAACTATAAAATGTCTTTAAAATGTGCATTAAACCAGCACCTGCACATCTGTGGCAATTGTTTCTCTTTATAGCTGTTATGGGACAGTTTCTTCTTTAAATGGCGAGCCTGAGCAGGGAGTCTCAGTAGAAGCTGTGGGGCAGAAGGATTGTAGCATCTATGGAGAAGACACGATAACTGATGAAGAGGGAAAATTCAGGCTACGGGGCCTGCTGGTAAGGATTAGAAAACTCCTGTCATTTGCTTTTATGTTAGTGTGATAATGGAGCAATAAAACATATTTTATTAATTAGCTACCGATTTCTGTTTTCCTATCACATTTGCTAGATCAGATTCCCTTGAGTCTCCCTGTGTTACGCCGTCACGTAGTGAACGTTTGTTCTAGTAAAGGGGGAAAAAGCTTTTAGTGTAAGTCTGTGGGACTTGCTGCCAGCATATTGTGATGGCCTCCCACAGACCCTGATCAGTTCCCATGACATGACGTAAACCCCTGGTTGATGCACTGAATGTGTGTAACAGGTGTTCAGGTGTTACAGCGGGCAATTTTCTTAGGCAAAAAAAATTGGGCAAGCATTAGTTTCTCTTGTGAAAATACAGTGACAGCGTATTTTTAGCAGGATATTGGGTGTATGTATGATGTTGATTGTGCAGCACGTATGTGCTGTAAGCTGTAATGCAGGAAACTTGGAAGCTGAATTTCTGTGACCATGATGTACGGAGTAAGCAATTATGCTGAAGTAGAAAGCAGTATTTGATCAGGTTTTAATCCTGTTTAATGTATTTTCTTTCTAGCTAAAACACTTCTTAGCAGATGATTTCTTTTAATACTGTAATGTAATAAACTAGTGAAAGTTCTGTGATAGGCTTTTTGTATTTGCTGGCAATGAACAGCACTAATGGTGTTATTGAGTTAAATTTTCTATTTGGGATAAGGGAAACTTTATCTGGATAGAGTTAGATCTGTTTGGGTGGTGTATCTTAAATGGAATCTCTTACTGTCTTCTGAAATTAAAGTACATATTATTCAGTGTTGGGATTTATCATTGAATGTTGCTTTTAGCCTGGTTGCGTGTATCATGTTCAACTCAAAGCTGAAGGCAATGATCACATTGAAAGAGCTTTGCCACAGCATCGCGCAATTGAGGTAATTTTTTCTTTTTTTGTAGTATCACTTAAATACAAAATGCATCTGTCTAGGCATTATGTCTGTTCTATCAGCGGCAGTGTAATTGAATGCATTCTGTTTAGACAAGTGGCTTTCAGCAAGTTAGCTCCCTAAATACGGGCCCCGTATTGTGTGTCAGCACTATAGCTTAAAATTGAAATAAGATAAAGCCCAAACAGTAAACAAGTGAGCAGGATTCTTTCACAGTCACAGAGACTACATCAAGAAACAAGAGAATAAATCTATAGGATACCTTTCAGCATTTCTTTATGGTGTGGAACAAAGCACAAGCGACTTGAGGATGTCATAAATTGTCATATTATGCTATCTTCTTATTTAGTTATTGATTGATAGATAGATTTTGTTATGCTTTATTTGGTCCAAATCCTCAGTCTTAATGTAGATGAAATTGTCATTCAGACTAGTAAATCTTTATAAAATGTAATAATAACTTTGAATTGAAAACTGATGAAATCTTGTTAAATATTCCTCCATCTTTACTGATTCAGATTAGTTGCCTTGTGTTTATCTCTTGACATGTAGCAAAGGTTAATTAGCCTTCGTTAGTTGTCCAGAACTTTTCAGTGGGAGATGGTCATTATTTGAGCTCAGACATGCACCTGACCAGGGTGCCCTGCTTTGCAGCAAAACAGAAGGGCAGAAATCTTTCAAGTCCTTGGCATCCTCTTGCTAAGAGTGCTTACTTGTTGGGAAGGGGAAGAGAATGGCAACCCAAATTCCAGAAAATCATATGAAGATTACGTACTGCAAGTGACAGCTGTATGCAGTAGCTTGTACTAATAGTATCCTGGCTAGCCTGCCATTTTCTCCAGGAGAGAGAGGCGTTTGAAAGACACCTACAGGAAAAATTTACAGCCTCAGTGGCACCAGACTGTTGATACAGCACCTGGCGGAACTGTAACCTGTCTGTTACTGTAGTTATTATTTGAGTAAATGTCTTTCATTACTCTGATCGGAGTTCAGATTTAGAAACACAAATGGTTTGTATTTTAAACAATTTTGAAGAAGGTGAAGTTATGTATTTTTAAAGTAGGTTATATTATGATATGAACATACTCCTCATTAGTCAACTGTATAAACATCCCAGCATAGTAATATGCATCTCTTGGCACAGATGCAAAATAGCGAGACCTGTGTTCAGACATCAGGCAGTCCTGTGTATGTAACTTAGCCTCTTCCAAAATAATGCATGCTATTGATACTTCTTCCATTTTTAGTTTAACTTAATGCCATAAGCCTTGTGCTGTTAATGTACAAGTCTGTAATTGCAAGCTGTGCGCTCTGGGCGAAAAGTACTTGCAATTGGAAAGCCTTCAAGTTTCCATGTTGCTAGTATAGAACAAAATTCATGTCTTGTTTAAAATTGTGAGCAGTATTCGTGTTGTGCTAACTGTCCTCTGTTAACTCTTCCTCTGCTGGTAAAAACATCCCTGTGTTTTGTGTTTCAGGTTGGGAACAGTGACATTGATGATGTTAATATTATAGCATTCCGGCAAATTAATCAGTTTGATTTAAGTGGGAATGTAATTACATCTTCTGAATATCTCTCCACATTATGTGTAAGTTCAAGCCTTTCATCTTTGTCAAGTGTATTTGCCATTGGTTTCCCAATGTTTTTTTGCAGGGTCACTGGAAATTGTTCAGTAGCTAGAGCACACATTTAATTCAAATTATGACTAATACTTTAATTTGAATTTGAATTCCGGATAGAATTAGGATTCCAGTGTTCCTCACTGGTTGGTTTTAATGTTTCCATTTTTCATGGGAGTATGTTTAAGAAATAATTTCTCAGGTTGGCCTGTACATTTCTGGGTCTGATTCCCTGATTAGGGATGTCCTGTCTGTAG